CATTGATCATCTTTGGAAACGCGTTCACCATCTTTGTTTTCTCAACTTTGACTCGGACATCGCACATAAAAAGAACTTGTTATCTCTTGATAAATCTGGCCGTTGCTGACCTATTTGTGGGTATTACAGAGACCATAATTCTAGGGACGAGCAAGTTCCATAGAATGACGGCGACAACGTCAAAACTGAGGGGAATGAAGGCAAAAAGAGAAACTGATCTACCAGGAGCAATGCAACTTTTTGCATTAAGTGTATCAGTGTTTTTTCTCGCCCTTATTTCGCTCGAGCGCGCTTTTGCCGTGTTAAAACCGTTGCGTCATCGTGTTGTTAGCACTCGCATTTACATCTACAGTATTGTCGTCGTATGGGCTGTAGGAATTTTCATATTTGGTCTGCTGGTCCTTATCTATCATATCGACCAAAAGATGGAGATGAACACTCTTCATGTTGCTGTACATTTTTGCCTTTTCATCTCTATTCTGGTGATTTGTGCGAGCTACCTCAAAATACGAGCACGATTGAGCAGCACTGCACCCGAAGTAGCCGTTGTCAACAGCTGTCAATCCACTAAGCACAACGCACGACTTTCAAAGACTCTCTTCGTGGTTATCACTTTGTCGCTTCTGTTTTGGCTGCCAGCGGTTGCTCTTTACACAGGTACGTTCATCTGCCGCTGTGGTTTTCACCCATACATGATGTGGACGGTCAATGCTTTACTTCTTGCCAATTCTTTGGTTAACCCATTCGTGTACAGCTTTAGGATGCCGGTATTCAAAGAAGCGTTGGAGAAATTGTGGTCGAGAAAGCGAACGAGACATATCGCGGCTACAAGTCTGGGTTTGAGTCTATTTCCTACTCCGAGGATGAATCACACCAGTTTCTGGGCTGCCGCAACATGTGGGGGTTCTCAGTTAAAGCCCTGTACGGAAAGTGGAGATTAACATATTACAGCGAGTTCACCGAAGCTTTCACCTGCAGTCAGCACTGCTTGCAATGGTGCAAGACAAGCAAGTACTCCTTCGACATCCATAGTGACCCGATTATAGGCGAAACTCTGATGACGCTATTAATTACAATTTTGCTCATTAGCTAACTAAGTCTGACTAAGTAACTAAGTAACTAACTAACGAACTAACTTACCAACTTGGTTAGTTAGTTCAGTCGTTAGTTAGTCAGGGGCAGTCCCAACGTCAAATTTCGAAAAATATCTTTTCGGAAGACGATTTGTGATCTAGAATTTTCGGAACATTTGTTGTAAAATTTCTTGCTTGCCTGCCTCTCCTAGTATTTTCGAACATCTCAAAAATGGTATAATTGCTCATTTTTAACTAATTTTTACACTGAAATGGTCACCTAGAATTTTCTGGAGCCTTTTCTTCTGGCTGAAATTTGCGAAAAGGTAAGTTTCGATCCCTATAATTTTCGGACTTTCAGCTAGGAAATCCGAAAAGAAGAAAAATTTTTAGGGGATAAGAATATGCCTTTTTTATCTACCGTTTAAATACTAAAATACGTTCAACAATGCTATGTTTAAGTGGTTTTGAACTATATTCTCGATGGGTGCCCCTGGTTAGTTGATCAGTTGGTTGAACAAACTAACCTACTAACTAACGAACGTACGAACTAATTAACTGACTAACTGTTTTGCATTGCGCCCAAATCTAAGGCGTTACTGCGTGGACTTATTTGAATAACGATTATTGCCCCCGCGGGGATTCCGCCTAGAAGGCGAAACCCCGAGGAGGCACATCTTGTAACTCGCGCGTATATTAAGGAAAGTACTTACAGTTAAAATATACAGTCATACAGTCAATATAGAAAAAATCTCGATTTGATTGAACAGGGGCCGCGAGGAATCAGTAGCTATTGATGATGTTTCTATTGTTTGCGCCCGCAAGTACGAAATGGTTAGGATGACGTAAAACACAAAAAATCCCGATGAAACAACAGCTTACAATAGGTAGATTTTGTGACATTAATTGTGCAGTCACACTTCGATACTCTTTTGCGTTACGTGTTATCAGTGACATTCTGTGGAGCAGTTGTTTCAGAGGCGACCCAAACTCACGTTACGAGGGAAGGGTGATTTACATACCATAGGTGACGCGCCGGTGTTGCGTTATCGGCGAACGTTGAAAATATAAAAGACTTCGTATGAGAAATATATTACTGAGATCTGCGAACGCTAAATAACGCTAAACCTTTCTTTTTCTTAATTAAATGAAATGAATAAAAAAGACTTACTTGCAATGTATTCCACTGCGTTTTGGTGTCTGATTGTCGTTTACTGTTTTTTTTTTGGCTTTATTGCGTAACCACTGTTACTCCTTTAATAGAAGGGGTGGTAGTGTTACGGAAACTAAGACCCTCGAAAACTAAGACCTAAGACCTAAGACCCCCTGAAATCGAATTCCTCGAAATATAAAGTTCAATTGTTAGTTTTCGTAACACCCTAGAACGAAGTGAAGGCTGGTCACTTCGATCTGTCGGGTTCCTGGACCAGTCGCAACAAGAATACCGTTTTTTTTCGCCGAAATTCAAATCCACTGCAAACTTTTCAGCTCCAGCCCAAGAGGGAAACCTCTTCTTCCACTCTGTGAGATCAGCTCGAAAAAAGATCCATAATTTCCCCATCAAATCTAGCCTGTGAACAGGCTCTCTATTTGGGGAAAAAATAGCAAGGCCTGTTCACAGGCTACATCAAATCGAGTCATTTGTGCCGGACTTCGAGGCACGTCTGGCTTTCGTCCAGCGCCTGTGACCACTGTTGCGCTTACCAACTAATTTGCATTATGACAATTAGCACTTACACGACAGGTGCCAGGGCGGAAATGACACGTCAACTAGGGCTCTTGCACTGTGAAAAAGCGAGTGCTTGCATCCGTCGTGTAAGTGGTAATTGTCATAACACAAATTAGTTGGTGACCGCAGCACCGAAACGCAGTGGAATTCATTGCAGGTAAGTCTTTTTTTATTCATTTCATCTAAGAAAAAGTAGGGTTTAGCGTTTTTAGCGTTCACAGATCTCAGTAATATATTTCTTATACAAAGTCTCTTATATTTTCAACGGTCGCCTGTAACGCGACACCGGCGCGTCACCTATGGTATGTAAAGTACATTACACCCTTCCCTCGTTACGTGAGTTTGGTCCGCCTGTGGTTGTTGTGAAAGTTAGGGACCAACGGACACTCGTTAAACGCAGATGAAGTTATAAGTTGCGTAGAACAATGTATGTTTTAACACTAAGTGAGTTTGCTAGACACGAGTTCACAAATCTTTGATTGGAAACCTTGCCAGACACTCTTTCTCTTTCTTTGACCGGAATAAGACTTTGCCCAAAACAAGCAAGACGAGAGAATGATTCAACGGTTAGCTTATCACCCCTTATCACCAGCAGAACGATGGACGATTACCGAAATTCACCGACAATCAAATTCTGTGCTGGCTTATTCCCTGCTCACAGATGTCCTTCCGCTATAAAGTTTAAAATAAGACTAGAATCCGCGAGTGTGAATTGATCTAACGTCCTTTTAATTTCCAACGCTTCCTTTCCGGTAAATAAAATGAACTGAATGTTAAAAGTGAAAGAGAAATAGCGAAAAATTAAACTTCTAATGTAAATATTTTCTTATGGTTGAGAATAAACTATTCTCGAATTTGAGAATGTTTTGATCAAAGCTGTTTAAATAGAACCGAAACTGTGCGTGGAACCTTGCGTTTATTTGCTGTGTTTATCTCACTGATTATATGGAATATGTGGGAACATCTTCATTATGAATCGGCAAATTTCAAAGAGCTACACAACGGGCAAGGATACTATTAACTGACAATATACAGAGCGGGGGCAGCTGTATAGACTACGAGTAGTCCCCCATTTTTCCTCAATCAACTCCCAGGAGGACATTTTTTACTCGGTATTAGACTTAGCCTCCCACGCGGAAGCCTGCGTGGGAGGCTATATTAGACTAGGACACAATCAAGATTCCCTGCTAGCAGAGGTCTCTCACGACGAGGCAATTTTTGCCTCGTCGTGAGAGACCTCTGCATATGGATATTTCAGATATCATACATATGTCATATATTCAATAACTAAATAGAAAAATGCATTTTTAAGGTATTTTAACATCAAGATGACTGTGCGTAATAAACTAGGAGTTTCAATTTGAAGTAAGAGCTGGCGTCAGAGCTGGAAGACAATACGGAAAATACAGTTTAAAAAAAATAAAATAAAGAAAATGTAAACGAGCCCCGGGAATACGAGCGAATAAGCCTTTTTTCAAAAAAAGAAAAGCATGTTATTTCCGTGTATTTGTGATGTTTAAAAGAGGAAAGCTCTTCGAGTAAATTTCCAGAGTGCAAGCAGATGATACATGAGGCCTGCGTTTTTGGTAATTGCTTGCTTATATTTTTTAGATTTCTTTATTTGCCTAAGGAAATAAAAATTTCATCGAGATCACGAACGGTTAAGGGAAGAATCCCGAGAAAGACAAGATATTTTGTTTCACTGCTCTACTATGTCAACAGTTTTTGCCGAATCACGAATGGAGGTGCAAAGATATCGACGCATGGATATTAAAGGGTTTAATGTGGTGCTCGAGAAGTTTTCTTTTGACTTAAAGGTAGCCTGCGTAGCAGGCGCTTGCCAACGCGACAGTCAAATAATTTTACAGTTGAATGGTCTGAATGGTCAACCCGGGGTAAGCTTCAAATAGAGCAGCCAAACACATATAAACCTCTCTCTTCCTCGAGATCTTTCACTAAAATGCTGTTGATCCAGACCTTGATGAGTACTTTGTTCACAAGCAAATAAAGACATCTAAAAAATAAAAAAGGCAGTTACTAAACGCTCATCTCGTTTATCATTGATATCTGCTTGCCCATTTGAAATTTACTTGATTTTACTTCGATCTCGGTCCACGAGCGTTTTACGTGATGTCATCCCGCAGGAGTGAATAACCCGGATAATAAGAAAACCAATCGACTGAGCATGCTTCTGATCTTACATCCGACTAATTTTGGCTTTTTCTCGCTATTGTAGAGAATAGTGTGCTGGCTCGCATAAGGCTCGCCAGCAACAACGTACCCATTGGCTTTTCAGTTCACCATTCCGGAAGGAAATATATTCGAGCAAAGTGAAAAAATAGAAACAACATTTAATCAGAGATATCAAATTTAAGATGTTTTACGATGGCATATTATCCACCAATTCAGTTTGAAAACTTCTTGAGGGCGCTGGAAAATTTAGGCTCATCACGTGTCTCAATGGGGGGACAGTGGTTTGCTCACCATTTATCCAAGGTCAAGTTTCTCCTAACAATATCCATACATTGTCAACAGATAAGTTATGAGAATTATTAAATTGATCACCCAAGTAAAAATGCCTTGATCTTCTATCAAATTCTCTCAACTCATTCTTAAAGGAAATGTAAGGAGATCATTCTGGAGAATTTGTATGTGGATACTGGGGCTTAATAGAGAGTTGTAGCAACGGCGATGAATAGACCTAATTCAATAAAGGTTGCTTTGGCAATTGGTCATTGTCAATTGCGCATTTGGGTATACGAAATTCACCGCAATGATTTGCTTTAGTGAACGCCAAACAATAGCTTCCCACTGCCCAATTCATAATGCCCAAAGCACCCTTCTCGATATCAGATATATACTGTACATTTTTGCTCCGTTTACAACTTCTAATGTACGCAGTGTAAGCCCCGAAAGCGTAGTCTGTGGGGCAACTCTATTGACGGAGAAGGGAAAGTAAGGATTTGGGCACGTGAACGGGATAGTAGCGCAAGAACGCGAAATACTAGCACGCCTTGATTTTCCTTCAAACGTAACCCTCCTTATTTCGCCTCTAGGTGTACTCTTTTTTCAATATGGCGGAACGAGTGAACCTGAAGACGACGACAACTTTATTGACTTTATCTTCGATATGAAGATT